TCATGACAGCAACCTCATTAGCACAACGTTAGTGAGTGGTTCAGCTCAATGACATAATTGGCGATTTTGGATTGATATTCACTTTTTCAACTCATGTTGCATCTGAAAAGGTTGTGGTCATAGTATGTGAGGACAAAATTAGGAGTCAGATTTGCTTTTTTTCCAGCGTAAAATCGGAGGCCACATTTGATCACAGATGATGTGGAGGTCGAGTGATACAAAATTCGAACACCTCATAACTAAAACTTTAACGTAATTCAAATTAAACAGTGGTGGAGTTTGTCATTAACAAGATTAACAAAGGGATTGTTAACCATGTATTAACATTGATTATTAACGTAGCCGGTTGATGTACAAGTAGCAAATATCACATAATATACAGACCACACTCATAAAAGAACGAAAGGTTTTTAGTTTTGTTAAGGTTAGAAACGTTTTTTTTTGCGTGATGTGACGGACAACTGTACGAACGCGAGGAAAAATAGTGAATTGTGAATTAAACATAATCCAGAACACTCACTGTCTTCGAAAACTGAAAAACAAACAAACAAATGAAAAAAAAAACTCACAAAATTTTTGTTTTATATTGAAAAAAATTGTATTTTTCGAGGAAGCGTTGAAGAAAGCTTTCAAAACTAGATTTCCAAAATTTCTTTTACTAAGTTTATGTTAGAAACAAAATCTAATAACGCTCAAAAACTTCAAACCAGTTTTTCTCGACGATGAAAAATTTTTGGAATGCTTTATAGTACGCTCACAAATCACAATTGAAAGGACTTTATTATGGTTTATCAATTGTTCAAATCTTTTGTAATGACACTGGAGTAACGAGAAAAAGAACTTTAATACGAAATATCGCTTAATTTGATATACCAATCATTCCGATTATTGCTTGAGGTACTTGATTTTCCATGAAAAAAAAAAAAAAAACTCATCCAAGACAAAGTTCCTCCCCATCTTCAAATGTCGAAAAACGAACAAAACTAAAATGATTTTTCAATAATTTCATATAAATTGAGAGTTCAAACTTTGTTAACACTCATAGAAAAAAACTTTCAAACTACGTTTTTTTTATATAAGTTTAATTCTGCTGTAAATTTTTGTCCTAGAAGGGTTGTGTTCAAAATGACAATATTTTTTGTTTGATTCATTTTTTCTCATAAATTGGCAATTGTTTTTTGAAACTTTTCTGAATATGGCGAATAAATTCTTTTTTGCTTCGAATGGGAAAGCGCAGCAGTTTTGTGCTACCGCAGTTCAGCAGTTTCTATAGACCAGATGAAAGTGATTTCAACAATTTTCCTGAATATTCTTGAATCGTCTCAAAAAAGTGTAGATTACTCGCGACTGAAAACCGTGCGACAAATGCGCGTAACTAAAACCACTGAATTTGTTTCCAAATGTTTTCATTTGAAGTTTTTCAATTTCACAAGCCATTTTTCTTTTATGATTTTCTACTTTTTCATGGAATCTTAACCATTGATCTATAACTAATACCAGACCCTTAATAGCAGGTTTTTTTCCGAAAAAATTAACTGAGTCGATTTTTTGTCGTTTTCTTACACTTTCTCGACAATAATTGTATTTTCTTAGGTTAAAAGTGAGTTTCAAAATATTTGGTGTTTTGCAATTGCTTTCATTTTTTAAAGCAAAACATTAGATTACGATGTTTGTAAAAAATTAGGGTTTACACCCGAAAAATTCAACTGTTTGTTCAAGTCATTTTTGTATATAAAAAGGAGTTTTGATAGATCTAGTAAGACCATTTGATGACGTAAGATCCAGTTTGACACATAATTACCCGCAATTTTTATAGATGGTTATTAATGATTAACTTAATTGTATAAATCGCTTATAATGAGCTAACATTTTCAAATGTTTCTAAAAAACCATGACGACCAAAATTAAATGCTCTTGGTTGGTCTAATGAAGAGCGAGCGAAAAATCTATTAATATCGATTGATTTTCTAAAACGTTCTTTACAATGATGGATAGCGTCAATTGTTGAATATAATTTTGGGAATCCAAAATTTGTGCGTGTAAGAGACTGGTATTAGATATAGAGTAAGTTATTCGAATAAATAAAAATTGCTCAGATACATTGGGCAGTCAACCAATTTTTTAAAAGTGTCTGCGTTTTTCTAAACATTCAGGGGCCAACTTTTGTATTAACTAGTTTTAGTTTTGCTACGGGTCTGTGTTTTTCTAAATATTCAGGGGCCAACTTTTGTATTCACTAGTATTAGTTTTGCTACGGGTCTGTGTTTTTCTAAATATTCAGGGGCCAACTTTTGTATTAACTAGTTTTAGTTTTGCTACGGGTCTGTGTTTTTCTAAATATTCAGGGGCCAACTTTTGTATTCACTAGTATTAGTTTTGCTACGGGTCTGTGTTTTTCTAAATATTCAGGGGCCAACTTTTGTATTAACTAGTATTAGTTTTGTTACGGGTCTGTGTTTTTTATTTTCAGGGGCCAACTTTGAGTCGCTCTGGATTAACATTTGAACTTAGTTTTTTTCCAGAAAAAGTTTTTAAATTGCATCCTTTTTCAGAGTAAAGTCACGATTTCAAACTGAGTTGGCTTTTTTTGCAGTGCAACTAAACAGATTGTTTGTTTTGAATGGTGAAAAAACCAAGAGATTTGAGTGTTCTACTGATTTTCCATTAGCAGCGAATTTCCTCAGAACAGTTTTTAATTTTAAACCTCGCTAATACCAGTATACGTTAGATCTATTGAGACTAGGAGATATAAGAGTAAGATTAGGATTGGTATTAGACTAAGAAGTTGCATGAATCTATCCGACCGAAAATAAGGTAGCCTGTTGAAGAAATTACTCTATGAAAAAGCTACCCCGGGTTTATACTCATCTGCTGCAACCAAAAGAGTCTCAAACAGACCTCAACTAATTTAGATATAAAATTTAGTGTAAAAAATCAAATCAAAATCGCTACACTAAATGATAAACCGAATTGAAAATTTCATTAGCTTATTTCCACGTCCCAAGAAGTCTAATCGGACCAAACGAGTAATTAGGCTGACATCAGGTCACATCCTGAACGACAACTCGAGCCTCTACATCGTGAAACGAAAAAACTGCAACGATTATTTCTCTACAAAATTATTAATGCAGTACATTTTCATTCACTAAAATGAATTACACTACACAGAGCATCAAGATTCAATCCAAAGCCATATATTATTCTATGATGTATAAAAAATAAATATATCCATACTCAATCGACTAGGATTAGTCAAATACCTTGAAATCTTGTCTACCTTAAAAACTCTACTACAAATCTGCAGCAACTTTAAGCTTTTCAATATTTTCATTGTAAATTTATTCATTAAAAAAATTAAAAAATTATTTAGCAGTTTTATTTTAATTAGTTTCATACAAAAACGAGAAGAGCCTTGCTTCTCGAGGTTTTTCATCTTCTGTTATTGTTCTGTGTCATCTAAAACATAGAACATAACTCATTAAGAAAGTAACCTCATTTAAATCGAAAATCTAACTTTTTCTTCAATTATCAACTTTTCAATTAAAAACCTTAAAGGCCCTTACCTGTTTAATTTAAACTTAAACAATTCTTTCAATCAGATCATCAAGGTTTTCGTTGAATCAATTAAAAAATTTTATTTTTCGACTTTTTAGAAAGTGTCTAACGACCTCAAACGTCGATTCAATTTCCAACCCTGACCTACGACCCAGGACTAATTGAAATTTTTCAACAGAATTAAGCATTTCAATTAGATTTCGTCCTTCACTTGAGCACCTCCTCTTAATTGGTCCAGGTTTAGACACATATTAAATAGTAGGAACAAAAATAGTATCTAACGATCTACTTATTTCTAATTATTCCTGATCCTTGTGGATTGGTTTACTATTCTCCGACCCTTGATCACAAACCAAAACCCCAACTAAATAATACTAAGTTTTTTTTTAATGAAACTTAGCCACTCGAGAAAGTATAAAATCATTCTAACGAATCGATATACTCCCTCTCCGACATGTCTTTATTCACGACAATCTATCCCCAAGGAGTAAGATAACCTCACGAAAATCGTAAGGACTAACAGTTGAGGAATTAGAAACCTTACACATGGATTGTGCATTTGTTACCCTAACACTTATGTCAAGAGACGATTTAGGAAACAAACAAAAAAAAATACTCCATAATGTCTAAGCAAAGAAGAAAGATACGATCTTGTAATTACACCGCACAACCAAAAAACAGGATACATTAGATCAGAAAAGCAACCGAAAAAGATGACAGTCACCATCGGGACCATCTATTTGATCGAGTTTATAAATCGTAAGCTGGTCAAGTTATAGATTTTTCTGTCTTTGACGATTTTTCAGTGACCATCGAAGTTGTTGCGACCTTCTGTGCGACAACGCACAGTCGACCGAGCACAAAATGGGAAAATAAAAGAAATCAATATAAAGTAACACATGGTCAAACTCATCGAGACTTGAACGACCCGCGGAACAGAGAAATATCTGTGACTATTATGTACCGCGTAGTAAAACAAGATAGAGAGAGAGAGAGAGAAGAGAAAATTTGGAGAAGAAATACACGAGAAGCTAACACGACTAAGTTGAACTATTTTGCGATATCGTGTGCTAAAAAACTGCAATCAATTAGTTTTTTTTTTCGCTCGGTTAAATTAGTAGGATCGCATAATTTTGATCCTGTGCAGTGGTTTTGATTGAGCTCGGTTTATGTTTGAGCTGTCTAGGTTCTGCTAGGTCGCAAGCGTCCAGACTTTTCACGGCCGTCACCACGACTTAGGTGGCGACTTTGGGCGACGCTGAAAACCTCGGTAGGCGGCATAATTTAGCATCGTGCTCATTGTGCGACTGTGTTTGGTCGCGACATGACTCGACTCGCGCATCTCGGCCCATGTAACACTTCGTTATACTTATTGTTTGGGCTATTTTCAACCGCGGCCGGGGCTCAAAGCATAAATTTAAATTGGACAAACAATTGTACACTTATTAATCTGTACAACAATAGTAAGGGACACTTTGTAAATGATTTGATATCCTGTTTTGCAATTATCTACAGTAAAATGCTGTGTGTGATATGTTTACGTTCCCGTATTTTTGTTCGGCTGGTGCAGTTTGACAGTGTCTGAGTAGTTTTTGTATCCTAGAGAATGATATATGAATTGGCACTCTTTGTCTTTGTCGTATTGTCTGGCGAGGTGCAAGGGGATGTCGGAGATCCAGTGCTCGGCTGCTGCAACCGAGTCACGGGAAGTAGACAGACTCAGCCCATGATGTGAAACTGAAACAGCAATTAGGCGTTTCGCTCTTTTCCACTCCACTCCCCCCCCCCCCGCTCAATCCTACATTGCAAATTTTTCATTTCCATAATACTCATGTTTAATAGATATTAGAAAGGTCAAATTTTTCATAGTTGCAAATTTTTCATTTCCATGAAACTTATGCATGGGATTAATCCTAAATGCGTGATTTTCGTTTAAGTTATAAAGTGCAAATGTGTTCAGAATAGTTCATCTATCACCATGCAGATTTCGATTACATTATGACAGTGTTGAAGTAAAGTTTTTAAAATTTAAGTTTAAATATGGGGGAGGGGGAGGAGTACGAGTGTAGAATTATGCCGAGTATTTTTCTCCTAGTAATCATATACTGTTTTATGCACCGGCGCATGACCCTGAAACAATTTTACCCAAGATTGAATGATCCAAAATTTAAACTTTGGGAAGCCCTTTTGCACTTCACACTTAATAACTCACAGTTGATCTTTTCCACTTCCTCACCCACCTTTCAAATTTCCAATTTTTACTGTTGTTTTACTTATAATTTTGGCTATATGCAAAAAATTAAGTTGTAAGGTAAAAAGATAAAAAGTGTTCACAATTGTTAGTTGGTTCAACATGTCAATCTTCAATGCATTATAACAATGGTTATAGTTTTTGTCGCGATTATTTTTGAAGAAAATAACGGAACGTTTGTGCTTGGGGTGCCGATTTTTCTGCAGACAGATTTCGACTTTTTAACTGGCGATTTTTGAAAATTTTTTTAAAATATCATTCGAAAGGTGTTGTTATCTTGAGCTCAAATTAAACAATATATTTCACCTGCGATAATTTTTTGTGAAGTTATGGGGGTTTAAATATTGCCAGTTTGGCCAACTTGGGACAACTAACGTGCGATAAATTTCGCGCTATTAACGCGTAAGCGGATATTTAATCGGCCTTAGATAGCATTCCAAATTTAAACAAGACTACTCGTATCAGGGCGAAGCCCTGAATGATCCGACTGCCTTTTAAGGTTTGTGGAGCAGCAGTAATAGCATAAAAAAATTAAATGAAATAAAATAAAATGAAATTTTTTTTTTCTAAAATTTGAAATTTTTTTATGAAAATCATCCCCCCACACGCCATATAAAGTACAAAATGAGAGATTTCATTCCTTTTAACAAATCAATTATGGCAAATAAGCTTCGTTCAACCAATTTGGAACGATTTATAAGACGGATTAAATCTCCGCTTACGCGTTAATAGCGCGAATTATATAGCGCGTTAATTGTCCCAAATTGGTCAAAATGGCCAAAATGGCAATCTTTAAACCCTCATAACTCTACGAAAAATGATCACAGGTGAAATTTCTTTTCAAATTTAAGCTCAGGACAACAATACCTTTTGAATGATTTAAAAAATTCCGTCAAAAATTGCTAGTTAAAAAGTCGAAATTTGTCTGAAGAAAAAAAAACCTACCCCGAGCACAAATATTCCGTTACTTTCGTATCGAAAGTCGGAACAATGAGGCGAACACTTTGATATATTTGATACTTTGCCATACGCAAAAAACAATACTTTGTACTGTGAAAAAGAGCCCCATTTTTGACCAATTTTTTTAAAATAACATTCAAAAGGTATTGTTGTCTTGAGCTTAAAACTGTAAAAATATTTCACACCTGTGATCATTTTTCGTGAAGTAACGTGTGTTTAAAGATTGCCATTTTGACAAATTTGGGACAATTAACGCGCGAATTGTTTCGCGCTACTAACGCGTAAGAGCAGATTTAATCCGTCTGGGAAATTGTTCCAAATTCGTTAAAAAAAAGTTATTTTTCATAATTAATTATTTACTAGCAGCGAAATCTATTGCATCGTACTTTATATGGCATATGGTGGGGCGGGAATTTTCACAACATATCTTAAATTTTGATTTTTTTTTTCATTTTATTTTATTACATATAATTTTTTGTATGTTATAATTGCTCCATATACCTTAAAAAGCAGTCAGAACTTTCAAGTCTTTGCCCTAATTTCCCCCTAATGAAATTCAAATGTTGGGGAAAATTGTACGCCTCCCAAAAATGCATTTTCAGTAGTTTATTGTTCCGACTTTCGAAAAAAATGAAATATTTATGTTTGGGCTGGTTTTTTATTCACTCAATTTTTGGCAATAGAAATAATAGTTTTCAACAAAACATTTTCATACCCCATTGAAGATATCGATTGACTGAAGTCAATTGTAAAAAAAAATTACCACCGATGTTTTTTTGAAGTTCTGGTAGTTTGAAAATTGCCAATTTGGCCATTCTCTGGACAAATTTCTGCGATAAACGGTCTTAAAAATTGATCGTATTATTCTTGTACGACTCAAATTTTCCCATTTAATCATTGATATTTTCCAAAATCTATAGTTTTTCGATATTTTTTCCCATAAATTATTCGATATGAAGTAAGGTGTAGAGAGAACTTTCAGGGCTGTACCCTGATTTGGGATCAGTCTTGTTTCAAAATACTAAAATAGTTTAATATCAAATACTTACAATTGAAGTTGTGCTGAGCCTGCGTGTTTTTCACAATCCAGTCCGTAACATTCATTGGCAGCTTTAAGCCCAGTTTCTGGTATAAAATCTGGCTGTTCTCTAAGGGCCGGTAGGCAAAGTCTTCATATCGAATCGTCATCCACTTATATCCATTGACCTCCATCTCAAAAGATATTCTTAGATTGTCAGCAACTTCTCGACATAGTGACGCGGAATCTAAACAATGTTTTTACAGAATTTCGGGATTTTTTGATATAGTTGGGAATAAAAATTGTCGTTTGCGATTAGCTGTTGCCTCGCCAAAAAGATTAGGCGGGTATTTTTTTAACGCGGGGTCACAACTCATTAAAAGAGAAAAGTCGTATAACTTCAAATAGTGTCAAAGTCTTCTCAAAGCACTTTCAGAAGCCAATGTCGAAGGCAAGTTATCAACTGTATTGAAAAATGAAACTCAGACCGGAAAAATCAGACCGGTTACATCTCGCAGATTTGGTAAAGAAAAATGAAGACAGAAACACAAATCAATTGGTGCTTTTGGTACTTTTTACCAAAACACGAATCAGTATCAATCAATTGACAGAACTTTGGAGGATTCCAAAAACTTTTTCACCAATAAATTTTTCTTAGTAAGCTATTTACTACATAATTAAGTAATTGGTGCCACGTGCAGTTTAACTTGACTGCTTATAAAAATAGTCATAAAATGTTTTATTAACCATGATAAAAAAGCCTCCAAGTTTATGACTGCCTTTTAGAAAAAAATCTGTTTTTGAAAAAATTTTGTTCTGCATTCCGCAATTTTTGCTTCTTGAGCAGGTCTTTTGAGCGCTACAGAGTGTTAGACATTTGCATTTAGATTCCACTACAATAAAAGTATGAAAGAAATTAGCGTTGTTGCAGATTCCATGGCAGAGTCATGTCAACCCGCTGCCCAATCCGCTTACAGTCTCAAAATACAACAGATTATGGCTTCGTATTGAAATCTTTCTGACCCAACTTGAAGTAGAAGTTGATAGGTTTTATCGCCCATGATACCGCTATTCGCAATTTTAAAACCTGATAACAAATTGGCATTTTTAAAGCCCCAAACAACTTACGAAAATTATCTAAGGTGAAAGACCTTCTTAATTTTGGCATCTTTTCCAGTTTGTTAGTAAAACGAAGCCTTCTCATTAAATAAAGTTGTTCAGAAATTCTTCAAGGGAATATGTATTTGAGAAATGCAGTTTATTCATTTGTTCATGTCCAAAAAAAACCAGACCGCTCGTATCAAGGCGAAGCCAATGTTCCGACTTTCTTTTAAGTTCTATGGAGCAGTAATAACATGAAAAATTCAAACGTAAAAAAAATAAAACTAAATTTTTAAAGCACGCCATATTAACTACAAAGTGATAAATTTCGCTCCTATTAATAAATCAATTATGGCATATAAGCTTCCTTGAACCAATTTGGAACGATTTCTAAACAGGATTAAATCTCGGCTTACGCGTTAATAGCGCGAAATATATCGCGCGTTAATTGTCCCAAATCGGCCAAAATGGCAACCTTTAAACCCCCATAACTTTACGAAAAATGATCACAGGTGAAATATCTGTTCAAATTTAAGCTCAAGACAACAATAGGTTTCGAATGATATTTAAAAATTTCCGTCAAAATGGCTAATTAATAAGTCGAAATTTGTCTGAAGAAAAAAACACCCCAAGGACAAATATTCCGTTACTTTGGTTACGAAAGTCGGAACAACAAGACTGCTCGTATCAGGGCGAAGCATTGATTGTTCCGACTGCCTTTTAAGGTCTATGGAGCAGTGATATCTTGAGAAATCGTGTAAGAAAACAAGACTGCTCGTATCAGGACAAAAAATTCTGAGTGTTCCGACCGTCTCTTAAGGTCTATAGAGTAGTGTTCGCTTTTAAGAAAATGATGTATTTTTCGAAGAAACTGAAAAAAAACATCAAAATTTTGAGTTTTTGAAAACTTCTCCCCACACGCCATATAAAATACAAAGTGGTAGATTTTGCTCCTAGTAACGTGAAAATTATCACAAGTAGCCCCTTTCAACCTAATTGGAACGATTTCTAAGACGGATTCAATCACCGCTTTCAAGTTAATGCGCGAAATATATCGAGCGTTAATTGTCCCACATTGGCCAAAATGGCAATCTTAAAACCCCCGTTACTCTACGAAAAATGATCACAGGTGAACAATTTTTTCAAATTTAAGCTCAGGACAACAATACCTTTCGAATGATATAAAAAAATTCCGTCAAAAATGGCTAGTTAAGAAGTCGAAATTTGTCTGAAGAAAACAAAACCCACCCCGAGCACAAATTTTCCGTTACTTTCGTTACACAAGTCGGAACAACAAATAGCTGGTCTGGAGAAGAGCCGTTTGATCACAGGCAGTAAAACTTTTCAGTCGGCTAAAATGCATCCTTGAGGCGGCCATGTTTCACGAATGGTGGTAAATTCGCCGTGGAATTTTTCACAGAACTATTTGAACCATCGAGTCGAAATTAGTTTGTTCGCGACAATAATTACGCATTTTGCAGACTATTTTACTAATTTTTGAGCTGATACCAAATAAGCTCATCTGACAAGGCGCATAAACTCAATTTTTTAGAAAAAAATGTGGGGTTAATAAATTCAAATTGATACAAGAAGTCAGAACAATATTTTACATTGCGTGGAAGTTCATCTAATTTTTCCAAACAAAAACTTCAGCATCATCTTATAAGGCAGCCGCACGTGTATAATCACTGCTTCAGGTGTATCGTGAAGAAACATAAAAATGCCTGCATAAACACGTAAAAATATATACTTGAGCTTCCAAACCACTTTCAAAACCAAGAACAGCGGCAGTTTATTATTAAAGACAACCCTGAATTTTATAAATAATCATTTGCGTGCACTACTAATCGTGAAAAATGAACCAAATTGTTTTGCTTACAGTAATGCAGCTTTCTCGACAATGCAATGGCTCTAGGGTCCCTCACTAAATGCAGCACCCAAACTTCTTCAGACAAGTATCTCTTCAGTGCATTGGCGTGAATCATCCGAATAGTTTTGGCCACTGTAATTTTCTTTTCCAAGCATCGTTCGCGAAGTTGCGATGACGTAACTGCACCACTTAATAAAGAAATTTTGAGGGCATTGCTTTTGGACACAAATAGCTTTGGATTGAAATGTTCAGGATTTTTTGATTCTAAAACAGACCAGGTGTCCTTAAACAATTGTTCTTAATGTCAAAAAGACTTCTTCTCAGTTTTTTTACACAGCATATAGGAGAGTAGTCCAAAGTGCTAAATTTCAAAAAAAATAGAGGATTTGAATTTTTGCAAGTAGGGTAGGATTTTAAAAACATGTTCAGAAGTTGGTCAATTTTGTAGATCCACCAAATTTATATCCACAAAAAGCGTCTATATTATTCCACAAAAAGCGTCTATCCACAAAAAGCGTCTATACTATTATTCGTAGTTAAACAACATGCCAATGTGAGTAATTGGTTGGTTTGCTTGTTAGAAATCCATCTAGTTAACAACAGCAGCGGATTTAGGGAAGGGGGTGGGGGTGGGGGAGGGCGGACGCTTTCTCATCCTCAGGGATTCGACCCCCTGCCGACCCAAAGGGTCCCCCATGTACTATTTTGAGATATTCAATTTTCGCTGACTGACCCTAAAATTTTCCTAAAGGCATTTTTGGCGCCAAGAAATGCCTTTAGGGTGGGCGCGCCAAAAAAACGCGATTTTTTTTTTTGGTCAAAATTTTCCAAAAAGTGCCTAAAAACGTTTTTTTTGGCCTGTTTTTTCAAAATTTCGGCTTCGGCGCAAAAACGTTGGTCAAAATGTGGTCTTTATAGTGATTTGGGAGAGTTCAGAAAATCAATTTGGTCGACTTAAAAAAAAGGTCGTTAAAGTTTTGGATTTTTTGTTGAAACTCCTCCCACTCGAGAAAATTCTAGATCCGACCCTAGTTAACAAAGTGGTTGCTTTCAAACTGTCTGCAAATAGACTTTCAGCGCCGTCGGCGACATTTTTACATGAATTTTGTTAAAAGTTTTGTTTTTGGAGAGTTTCGACTAAAAAATTCCGTTTTTTGGCGCGCACTTTTTTGAAAAAATATGATATGAAGCTGCTTAAGGACCCCATAAAAAATATAGGACTCGAAAATTTTGTATTCTTTTAGGCCAACCAAATTGGTTTTTTGAACTTTCATAAATCACTATAAAGCCTCATTTCGACGAAATTTTCTGCGCCGCAGGTAAATTTTTGAAAAACAGGCCAAAAACGTATCCACTTTAACATAATTTGCTTAAAATAAAATTGAAGGTACAACGAATAAAAACAAAATTTTTCGACAATTGATAGCAAGTATTTCTCGACAAAATGTCACGGAATCAAAACTGAGACGAAGTGAGAGGCGAAAAAATAAGAGGCGGGTTATTTTCAATTAAAGCGCGAGTCGCCACAGGCGACAAGTTGTAAAACTTCAAGCAGTGAGAGGGTCTTAGAAAGTCTAGAAACTGAATTGGTACGATGATCATGAATCTGAAAGTTACCGTTTTTTTATGTTTGTCAGAAGATTTAATTTCTACATTGATAGAACATTATCCTTGCTATTTTTCAAAAGTCTAAAACTGATACTTTCACGATATTTGAATGTGTTTGATGACCAAATCCATCATTTACCTTTTTGGTTGCAACTTTCGAAAGTACAAGCGGAAAAATTATGCTCGGGGTATTTTATAATCAGACGAGTTTCGATGATCGGAAGAATTGTTTTCAACGGAAAGTGTTAAATTTTGTTTAAAATTATTTTTCTGATCATCAACCCGAAGTTTAATAATAGAAAAATGATTTACTTGTGATCATGGTTTAATGATTCGCTTGTGATCATATTTGGTAACGTTCTGGGTGAATAAAAGCCAATTTTGAAAATTTGAACTAATTTATCCGCGTTTCTAAGAGCTCATCTATGATGTAACTATGAAACTGTCATTGTGAAATATTAGGTATGTCAATGCAGTCGGTTGAAACGTCGTCATTTGGCATTTGGTTTTTTTTTCAATTTTAGTTACGAACATTTTTACTGTGATAGGTTGGAAAGTGAAGTATTAGTTATTTAAATAAAAAATAATGTTTCGAAAACTTTGTTCTCGGTTCAAAAAATGAAAATCCAATTCCTTGCTCAAAACAATCCGGGCAAAAATGGCAAAGACACTGCGCTATTATACTTACCCCTGCTTCAGAAAATTATCAAACCAAAATTCAAACTATTAAGCCATCTTTCAGTTTTTTTTAAATCGATAAAACTGTTTGTTGTAGGTTTAGCAATTTTAAAAGCAGACATTCAAAAATAGCTCTGTCCATTCTTAGAAAACATACAACAGTATACAATTGAAAAAGATGCCTATGATTGGCTTTTTTGGAGTAAATTTAACTTTGAAGCAACTCCAACATTTGCTATGTATTGTTTAGGATGTTATGTCAGAAAAATTAGACAACTCTTGTACAGTTTGTCGTTGACGCATCATTCAGTTTTTTTGAATGAAACGGTGACGTAAAACATTAAAAACTCTCAAATTTCTTTTCAAATCATCTATTGAAAATTGAAAAATGAAACCAAATTTTTGCAACAGAGGATACCTAGTGAAACTTTTGCACACAGAGGCGAAACAGCTCTATAAAGTGCAATAAAGTGCTATAAACGTCGAATGTATAAAACTCACTTACGTCTTGGATTCTATCTGCGACTTTGAGATTGAGAAACTCACACACTAACCACTTAACAACGGACGCTTAATAAATCACAAACAATAGATACATTTAAAGCGAAGAACAGATGCTATGAAATTTACAAAGCTACAAAATTTGATTACAGCAAAAGTGCCACCAAATAAATGAACATTTTTAATGAACACTTTTATTCGCGAGTTAGATTTTAAAAAAAGTACATGCTAATACACTAACGTTTGCAAGCTGGCTAGTGCAAAAAGTAGAAAAATCTTTCTATGAACCAGTTTATCTTTTAGCAAAGCACAACTTTCAGCCATTTACCTTGCTTACCCTTAATTCTTGTTCGCATTGTACACTAACTCCAAGAGCAAATACCCATTGGAGATTACGGATTGTAACAATCTTAAAAATTCTATGTGGTACATTTCTTTAAGAAACGCAAAATTATTTTTGCTAGAGATGTTATTCAGTACTTTTCAACATGAAATGATTTTACAATGATAGAAAAAACAGAGCTATTACAACATTGGGTTTTCCAAAACTATTTTTTCGGTATGATCATTGGACTGGCTAAATTCTTTCACCTGGAATATATAAAACCAGCTTCTTCTTAAGTGTTTTTCTATTAACAAAAAATTTCTGGTGGTTCCACAAATCATTTCCTTCGGAAAATTGTTTTTCTTTTCCATGAAAACTGACAAACAAGTTCAACAAATCTGGAATAGTGCTAACATCTACTACTTTTTTACCCAACAGCCCTTATTCGATGTTAAGCTGAGTGTGAGTGTATTCATGGAGTGATTATGATTTTTCCTCGTCTGTTCCCTTACAACATCTTGTTGAATAGATTCATCCTTAGTGAACTTTCTAACTAAAAAAAATGATATGACAGTACAGTGTTTCTCTCTTTATTGGAGGCGGTCAACGAAGGTTCTTAATCCAATCCATAAATTTCTCTGATATTTTTTGAATACTTTTTTTTCGTGAATACGATGTTGCCAATTCTTTATTTTGTTCATCGGTGAAATTATCACGCGTCAAAGTACATAGAATTTTTTGTCATTTTGTCTTCTGCCAATTTGAATTAGTTGATTTTTAAAATTTAAAATATATAAAACGTTTTGTTATTGAAAAGCTTGTTAACATCAGTTCTTGGCACCGTTGTATCATTTCGGTACTGTTATTTTGTCTCAAACCGCTATTGAATAAGAGTTACTTTGAGTTGCCTAATTTCTCCTGACAAAAAAGGTTTGTCAGTGCCTCGACAAAACAATAGTTTTTAGATGATTGTCTTCAAAATGCGTCGACGAATCTTTTTTCTAAAATTAGGAAATTAAAAGACTTACAATCTTCGTTGAATTTTTTTTGCAAAACATTTGTATTGTAAAAAAAACTCCCTAGAAAGTAGCAGTCAAGCCAGTTTTTTTAATTCTCAATGACATTAAGAAGGTTGTTCTTTCATTACGAGGCTAAACTGTTCACTGGATAGGCACACAATTTTGTGTCTGTATGTTTTTGGATTCCAGAGGCAAGTCTTTAAACATGTTAAAGTTTTGTCTAAACGATCAAAGGAAATGAAAAAACAGAAGAAGAACAAAAGGAGCGTCCTTGTCGCGGAATCTATTTACAATTCACAAAACGCACAGTTTGGCCTGTAATGTGCAGTGCATTATCTGGAACAGTCGGATATTATATACCGCTCATTTGTTGCTTTTTGTAAATTTAATTCAATCAGAAACCAGAAAAGTAAAGAAACAAACAATTTTTCACAGCTGTTAGTATTTTACTTGCTTTGATAGCCATTTAGGCGAACAATAAAGTAACCAACATAAACAAAAAATACGACACAAGTATGGGTGTTATCATTGATATCAAATTAGGTGTTCCTCAGCATAAATTAAAATTAAAATTTGCTTACGACTAAAGTTGGTTGGAGTGATCCAACCAAGCTTTTTGACCCTCTTTGACCTCCATACCAAACTAGTAGCCTATTGAAAGAAAATTTTTGCATACAGTTTTTGTATATTTTCTTAAATTCGTTATAATAAACACTTTTTGTGATGTTCTGAATGCCTTTTGAACTTTCCGGTAAATAAATGAGTTTATCAATCAAATGAAAAATGCTTGACAATCAATTTTCCGATATTTTTTGGAGATTCATTCCAATACAATTTCAATAAAAATTGTATCACACGCTTTTTTCCATATGAAACCAATGCTCAAGCCAACCATACCTTTACTATTTCTGAAAATGTCATTATAAACCTTTCATTTCTTGCAACAAAAAACTTTCCAATCAGAAACTCCTAATTTGAGAAAAAATATTTTAAGCTTTCTGTTATTCGGTGAATCAGATTTGTGCTCATAGATACAATTTTCGAGAAGAAAAAATGTTGTGTGCAAGTTGGATTTTTTCTATAACGCTATCAGTTAACACAAAAAAAGGAAATTAGTCGAATTGAAGGTTTTG